AGTTGCTTCTTATAGACCGAGAGAAGGCTTGCGATTGCTCTGCGACTTGAACCTCTTCACGCCGGAGCTGGAATAGCCCTCGTCGCTACAGACGCTCTGCAGGCTCCCTCTTTCGTCCGAGTCGCTCGGGCTGCTGCTGCTCCAGTCCAGGTCCGCGGGAAGGTCGTCCGTGCTCTCCACGTCCACGTCTATCTCTTCTGCAAGAGGAACGGATAGCGTTACAACGCAGCTGGCCAGACCTCTCGCCAGCCGGCCCCGCTCCCCCCTGAGCGCGGGGTCTCACCTCGATCCGAGTCTGAGCGCTCCGAAGAAACAGTGGATCCGATACTGTCCATCCTTATCCTCTCTATCCCCAGCTTCTCCAGCTGCCTCTTCAGGTGCCGCTGCTCCCGCTGCAGCTGGTCTATTTGGTGTACGGCTTTCCTGTCGTAGTCTTCAAGCTTCTGCAGAGGACGAAAGAGAAGGCGCCCTGAGCTCCCCAGCTGCGCGTGAAACCTCGCTTTCGCTACCTGAGCCGCCTAAATGCGACCGCCGACAACTACCCCGGGGCTCCCCGCCTTCGGCACGGGAGCAGCTTTCACCCTCCCGCAAGCCGACAGACGTCGAAGCAGGGTGCAGCCTCCGGCCCAGGGACGCAGAGGTCCGGAGGCACGTAAAGGACGCTTCCCCCTCCAAACAGTTTATATGTGCAGCTACGCCGGGGCCGGCTCCATCCTATTTATATATTTTTTGAGTCTTTGATAACTAGAGAGTGGAGCGCAGCCCCATGCCGGTGCTCCCCCAGTTATCTCTCAGCTCACAGAGCCCTAAATACACCCAGAGCCCTGTCGAGTTAAGGTCTGAAGGACAAAGAGTGAAGTACGAAATACTCCAGAAAAGAAAGGAAAAAAGAAACTGTCCCCCAGCCCTGCAGCCAGCCTCATCCCTAAGGCCTCTGGGCATCGCTGCGGTGAAGGCGGCACGTAAAGCCGCGTGGCCACCCTCTACGAGCCCATCGATACGGAGAATCGCATGGACTCGCTGTGCCAGCTGCGAGAAGGGCAACACCGACCCGCCACAGCATCAGCCTCCAGCAGTATTTCCAAAACAACGTCCTGACCTGGCCGTTACCTCCGTCCCGCTCGAGGATCCGGACGTCCCGAAACCCCTGCGCCCCGTACGGCGGTGCTGCTCTCGGAGCCGAGCTCAGCACCCCCCCGACGGGATGGAGCCCAATCGATTGCGTCTCCCACAGTGGTACCGAACGAGCCCACGCTCACCTTGATGTGCAATTTAGCTTTCGTTAGTAAACTCAGGGTGGTGTGCCTGCTGGCTTCGGGTCCGAGCGGTACCAGCCCCTTCAGCTTCTCCAGACACAACCGCAGATGGGCACGCCTGCAAGAAGATCACACGACAGACTGAGTGTTCAGGTACCCGCTTCCCAAACCGCATTTCACCCCTGCGAGCGCGGATAATCGGGGTGGTTGGAAGCTAAGCCGAGCCAGGCGCCTTCCCACCCTCCGGTGGCTTCCATGCACCGGGCGAAAACTGCAGCCAGACAAAAGGACCTCTCCAAAAACCTGACTCCGGCTTTGGCCAAACCCACCGACAAAACTCCGCCAGCGCCTTTTGGGCTGTCAGGACGCTTGCTGGCGAGGAGCTGCCAAAGACCTCGACTTTTTGGGCAAGGGTATCTGCTTTTGGTCTTTCTCCTCCCAAAAAGCTTCACCACAGGGATGCTGTTTGGTCACCGCCTTGCTCCACCGATAGCTGAAGCCGTCCGGGCTGACGCCACGCAGCTGTAAACCCAGCGCATCCCTTGGGAGCGCTTCCTTTCCCTATTTTTAGTAGGAACGAGCCGGTTTCGGATCCATCGCCTTGGCACACTCAGCTCCGGTCAAAACAAAAGCAGGTCCCCAAGGGAACACTGTCCCCACGCAGCACCACGCTGCTCGGCCGCCCCGGCGCAGGAGCCTGCAGGAATCCCGCCCTCCCTGTAGAACACCCAGATTTTTGTCTGCATTAATAAACACGCTAACACTTTCCTGCTTGCGTACCACTGCTGCGGGAAACTCTGGCTCCTCGAGGGAGTCCCTTTACCTGTGGGTAACTGAGACGCTCCCAGTACGGGCCGGCTTTCCTCGCGTTCGCCACTCCAACCCCAAGATTTAGGTCACGTCCTCGGGCATCACTTGCAACACCCGCCTTTGAAATACCCCATCGACACCGGCAGCTGCAAATTGGGATTTTGCAAGTACCTGCTTATCTTGTTTTGGGCGCGCTAAGAGTAAACAGGCATTTGCCTACACAAAGTACCTTCCGAATTGCAGTGCAAACAAAACACGTGGGCTTTACTGTTCGGGTAAATCCCAAACACCGACAGGCTCAAAGATGAGCCTGTGCAAAGATTATTTTCCTGAGCAGCGGGGGGAAGAGCAGCTGGGTGCAGACCCATCCGACCGTGCCGTGCCGGCTTATGAGCGATTGACCTGTGAGATCTACGGACAGGGAGCCAGCCCAGCTGCGCTCCGCGAGGGCTGCGGCAGCAAACCCGAAATCCTCAGCTACCTTTGCTAAAAAAAAAAGCCTTGTCACGCTGGCCATTCGCACCAGAAAAAAAACAACGAATGGAAAAAACCAGCCCGCCCTGCTTAGCAGAAGTTACGCAGGGGGGAGCGCAGCAGCAACCCGCCCCGCCTGGCCAGCGCCGAGCAAGTTTCTGGATTACACAACACCAAAGTCAAAACCGGGGTTTCCGCTTTGAAGTCAGAGGCGCGGCGTATACGAAAGCGCATTTCTGCCACGCTTCGCCCAGCTGAAACTGCTGCCACACTTAAAAACCCCCAGAAATCCCACTGGCTTGTAATAATAAAAGAAAAAAAAAATCCCTCATTTCCCGGGCAAAGGACCTTCCAAGCCCATCGGCTCGCTTTTATTCCCTCCCCCCATTCAAATCCCC